AACTAGACATGGAGCCATTGATCACTACCCGTTGAGCCCGACAATCTAGCCAGCTTTCTACCCACCTTGTAGTGCATTCATCCAGCCCATACTTCCTTAACTTGCTGACAAGAATACTGTGGGAGACCGTGTCAAAAGCTTTGCTAAAGTCAAGAAACAATACATCCACTGCTTTCCCTTCATCCACAGAACCAGTAATCTCATCATAGAAGGCAATTAGATTAGTCAGGCATGACCTTCCCTTGGTGAATCCATGCTGGCTGTTCCTGATCACTTTCCTCTCATGTAAGTGCTTCAGGATTGATTCTTTGAGGACCTGCTCCATGATTTTTCCAGGGACTGAAGTGAGGCTGACTGGCCTGTAGTTCCCAGGATCCTCCTTCTTCCCTTTTTTAAAGATTGGCACTACATTAGCCTTTTTCCAGTCATCCGGGACTTCCGGTAGTGATTATCAAGGTGGCCATTTCCAGCAGTGGACAAGAATGTCTGAGGAACAGCCGGGGGGCGAGGCGGGGGGCGGAGGGGGATGGAATAAACATGGGGAAATAGTTTTACTTTGTGTAATGACCCATCCACTCCCAGTCTTTATTCAAGCCTAAGTTAATTGTATCCAGTTTGCAAATTAATTCCAATGCAGCAGTCTCTCCTTGGAGTCTGTTTTTGAAGTTTTTTTGTTTAAGAATTGCCACTTTTAGGTCTGTAATCGAGTGACCAAAGAGGTTGAAGTGTTCTCCGACTGGTTTTTGAATGTTATAATTTTTGATGTCTGATTTGTGTCCATTGATTCTTTTACGTAGAGACTGTCCAGTTTGGCCAATGTACATGGCAGAGGGGCATTGCTGGCACATGATGGCATATATCACATTGGTAGATGTGCAGGTGAACGAGCCTCTGATAGAGTGGCCGATGTGATTAGGCCCCATGATGATGTCCCCTGAACAGATACATGGACACAGTTGGCAACGGGCTTTGTTGCAAGGATAGGTTCCTGGGTTAGTGGTTCTGTTGTGTGGTGTGTGGTTGCTGGTGAGTATTTGCTTCAGGTTGGAGGGCTGTCTGTAAGCAAGGACTGGCCTGTCTCCCAAGATCTGTGAGAGTGATGGGTCGTCCTTCAGGATAGGTTGTAGATCCTTGATGATGCGTTGGAGAGGTTTTAGTTGGGGGCTGAAGGTGATGGCTAGTGGCGTTCTGTTATTTTCTTTGTTGGGCCTGTCCTGTAGGAGGTGGCTTCTGGGTACTCTTCTGGCTCTGTCAATCTGTTTCTTCACTTCAGCAGGTGGATATTGTAGTTGTAAGAACGCTTGATAGAGATCTTGTAGGTGTTTGTCTCTGTCTGAGGATTTGGAGCAAACGCAGTAGTAACGCAGAGCTTGGCTGTACACCATGGATCGTGTGGTGTGGTCTGGATGAAAGCTGGAGGCATGTAGGTAGGCATAGCGGTCAGTAGGTTTCCGGTATAGGGTGGTGTTTATGTGACCATCGCTTATTAGCACCGTAGTGTCCAGGAAGTGGATCTCTTGTGTGGACTGGTCCAGGCTGAGTTTGATGGTGGGATGGAAATTGTTGAAATCATGGTGGAATTCCTCAAGGGCTTCTTTTCCATGGGTCCAGATGATGAAGATTTCATCAGTGTAGCGCAATTAGAGTAGGGGCATTAGGGGACGAGAGCTGAGGAAATGTTGTTCTAAGTCAGCCATAAAAATGTTGGCATACTGTGGGGCCATGCGGGTACCCATAGCAGTGCCGCTGATTTGAAGGTATACGTTGTCCCCAAATGTGAAATAGTTATGGGTGAGGACAAAGTCACAAAGTTCAGCCACCAGGTTAGCCGTGACATTATCGGGGATAGTGTTCCTGACGGCTTGTAGTCCATCTTTGTGTGGAATGTTGGTGTAGAGGGCTTCTACATCCATAGTTTGCCAGGATGGTGTTTTCAGGAAGATCACCGATGGATTGTAGTTTCCTCAGGAAGTCAGTGGTGTCCCAAAGATAGCTGGGAGTGCTGCTAGCATAGGGCCTGAGGAGGGAGTCTACATAGCCAGACAATCCTGCTGTCAGGGTGCCAATGCCTGAGATGATGGGGCATCCAGGATTTCCAATTTATGGATCTTGGGTAGCAGATAGAATACCCCTGGTCAGCATTCCAGATTTGTTCGGATTTGTTCTTGTGCTTTTTCAGGGATTTTCTTGAGCAAATGCTGTAGTTTCTTTTGGTAACCCACACAGATCTTGGGAGACAGGCCAGTCCTTGCTTACAGACAGCCCCCCAACCTGAAGCAAATACTCACCAGCAACCATACAACAGAACCACTAACCCAGGAACCTATCCTTGCAACAAAGCCCGTTGCCAACTGTGTCCACATATCTATTCAGGGGACATCATCATGGGGCCTAATCACATCGGCCACTCTATCAGAGGCTCGTTCACCTGCACATCTACCAATGTGATATATGCCATCATGTGCCAGCAATGCCCCTCTGCCATGTACATTGGCCAAACTGGACAGTCTCTATGTAAAAAAATCAATGGACACAAATCAGACGCAAAAAATTATAACATTCAAAAACCAGTCGGAGAACACTTCAACCTCTTTGGTCACTCGATTACAGACCTAAAAGTGGCAATTCTTAAACAAAAAAACTTCAAAAACAGACTTCAAGGAGAGACTGCTGCATTGGAATTAATTTGCAAACTGGATACAATTAACTTAGGCTTGAATAAAGACTGGGAGTGGATGGGTCATTACACAAAGTAAAACTATTTCCCCATGTTTATTCCATCCCCCTCCGCCCCCGGCTGTTCCTCAGACATTCTTGTCCACTGCTGGAAATGGCCCACGTTGATTATCACTACCGCCCCCGGCCCCCCCGCTCTCCTGCTGGTAATAGCTCACTTTTCCACTGAATGCATCCGATGAAGTGAGCTGTAGCTCACAAAAGCTTATGCTCAAATAAATTTGTTAGTCTCTAAGGTGCCACAAGTACTCCTTTTCTTTTTGCAAATACAGACTAACACGGCTGCTACTCTGAACTCTATATATAGAGTGTGAATATAATGTAACTAAAATAAAGGTCTCTTGTAAGGTATCATTACAAAGCTTATAATCTATTGAGTGTGGTCATCCTATGTGTATAAATGTATCACTCTTGTATCTGAAACTAGAAATATGAAATATAACTCTGAGGGCCTATTGTAGTTATGCAAAGTGTGGGCCATTAATGGTGATTTGGAATCTCGATGGTTCCCGTCAACCGGGACAATTGACTGTGGATGGCTCTGGTTGCAGGTAGGCCTTCCTGTGAGACAGGCTGGGAGGAATGAAGGCTTGGGGTCTGACAGGACATGTGACCATGTCACCTGAACTGGAATCCATCTTTAATCTGGTGCTTTCCCACTGAGAAGGAGGGGTGGGAATCCAGAGGGACAAAGGATCCCTGCCTTATGCAAAAGATATATAAATGGGTGGAACAGAACAAGGAAGGCAGCCATCATGAGGAATCCCCTAGCTACCACCTGAGCTGGAACAAGGGCTGTACCAGGGGAAAGGATTGTGCCCAGACTAGGAAGGTCTCCAGCTCCAGTCTGTGAAAGAAACTTACTGAAACATCTCTAAGGGTGAGATTTTATCTGTATTCAGTTTTTATTACTGTACTAGACTTAGTCCGACGTCTTTTATTTTATTTTGCTTGGTAATTCACTTTGTTCTGTCTGTTACTACTTGGAACCACTTAAATCCTATTTTCTGTATTTAATAAAATATCTTTTTACTTATTAATTAACCCAGAGTATGTATTAATACTTGGGGGGCCAAACAGCTGTGCATTTCTACCAGTGTTATAGAGGACGAACAATTTGAGTTTACCCTGTATAAGCTTTATAGAGGGTAAAACAGATTTATTTAGGGTTTGGACCCCATTGGGAATTGGGCATCTGAGTGTTAAAGACAGGCACACTTCTGTAAGCTGCTTTCAGTTAAGCCTACAGCTGTCAGGGGACGTGGTTCAGACCTGGGTCTGGCTCTGCAGCAGGCTAGCAGGTCTGGCTCAAACCAGGCAGGGTGCTGGAGTCCTACGCTGGCAGGGCAGGAAAGCAGGAGAAGTAGTCTTAGCACATCAGGTGGCAGCTCCCAGGGGGTTTCTGTGATCCAACCCCTCACAACCTCCTCTCCCCACAGCACTCTGTGGCTGATATTCTAGCTTTTGGGCAGTAGTAGTGGCTACGGCCTCTTTGTGCCCCTTATGGGAGGGTTTGGGTTCCTGGAGCCACATGAATGCTGCTCCAGAAGTTTATCTTTTCCTGCTTGCAATCGCCCTCTCCATACTTGTCTCCCTGGAGCCCATGGCTTCATTGGCTAGAAAACATTACACAAAGCTAACCAATTAGTGCAGACCAGAGCAAATCATGTTCAGCATCTATCTTGGATCTGTGTATGCAGCTGCCCATCACCCTACCATCTGAGTACCTTCTATGTAAAACCAGGAGCAATAACAACGTCCTTAGTAGATGTTATGGAGTCTCTGGCACTTCTCACTTTTTGCATCAACTGAGATTAACCCCACAATTGGTCATGGCCTAATTGACTGCTGAATCGTGATCACAATCTTGTAGTGCAGTCTCATCCCCACACAGGAGAGGGGCAGCAGCAGACAGCAACCTGTGCATCTACTCCACACCTGCAAGGGGATATGGCAAGACCTAAGTCATGTTAGAGCAAGGGACTGGGAGTCAGGACTCCTGGCTCTCCCAATAACTCCTTGGTGACTAACCTTCCTAATCATTAATTTACCCAGCTATAAAAATAGATATAATTACACTCACCTCACAAGGATGTCTGTGAGGCTTAATCACACTGGGCCTGATTCTCTACCGCCTCACACTTGCTGTAATAATTTACATCTGTGCAATGTGGATGGCAAACAATACCAGAGCAGAGTGGTAGTATCTTTGTAAAACAGAATCTCTAACATCTTCCCATTGGTTTAAACAACCAATCCATTCAGACATTAAAAAAAACAGTTTATTGAAGGTGGCATGTTTCATAAAGAACTCAACAGGCACTCAAGACACAGAGTTGTATCCATGTTTCAAAAGGTTAACATGGTGCAAATCAAACACTTTGCATTGTATTTTCTACATTCATCAGTTAAAGGGCAGAGCTAATGTGACTTTGTTACCACACATACAATCATCCTTGCCCTCAAGTCTGCTGTAACAGATTGGGAGTTCCTGCTTCAAAAACATAAAGGTCTTCTATTCCCTGCATATCTGAAACCTTCAATGACTTGAAAAGGAGATATCAAAGGGAGTTTTGGATGTGCAAAGACTGAAGGATTGGACCCCAAAGGGACATTGTCAGATCAAATACAGCCCAAAATGTCGGTCTGGTAAAAATAACCTCTCTCAGAACTTAAAACAAATAGAAATGCTTCTATGGTTTCTTTTTAAATTTCCCTGAAAGCATTTTGAAAACCAAACAAACATTAATCTGCAGTAGCCCAAAGAAGCAGCATGAGAGGATCAAGGAAAAACTGACTAAAAACAAAAGTGACAGTGACGAGTTTATCTCATTGTCCAAGATGAAACTGGAAAAGCGAAGCAAAAAGCACCAATGGTGAAAAGTTGGTTAAATTTTTCAAATCGTTTCAGTTTTAATGATCTATAGTGTTATCTGTAATATAATGAACTTATTTTTTCTAATTATTTTTAATCTGACCATGTCTCTCTCTCTCTCTCTCTCTCTCTCTCATGTCTGAGAGTTTGGGAAACAGGAATAAATCCAAGGGAAAACTGATTTCCACAGTGGAGTAGGGTTTGCACATACCTGCTCAGGCTAAAATATTTCTGGCAACTGACATTAATTGGCTATTTGTCTGACTCCTAAAGACATAGGAATAAATTCCATCTTCTACCCATTTTATTATTTGGTCTGTTCTGATAATTTTTTTTCTTTTTTTTATAAAAAGGATTTTTGCAATGAAGAAAGCTTTATGAGAAAAAATTGCTTATTGAAAGCACACGCTTCACCATGTCGTTTACTCAGAGGCTCGTTCACCTGCACATCTACCAATGTGATATATGCCATCATGTGCCAGCAATGCCCCTCTGCCATGTACATTGGTCAAACTGGACAGTCTCTACATAAAAGAATAAATGGACACAAATCAGATGTCAAAAATTATAACATTCATAAACCCGTCAGAGAACACTTCAATCTCTCTGGTCACTCGATTACTGACCTAAAAGTGACTATTCTTCAACAAAAAAACTTCAAAAACAGACTCCAACCAGAGACTGCTGAATCGGAATTAATTTGCAAATTGGATACAATTAATTTAGGCTTGAATAGAGACTGGGAGTGGTTGAGTCATTATACAAAGTAAAACTATTTCCCTTTGTTTATTCCCCCCCCCCCCCCGTTCCTCAGACGTTCTTTTTAACTCCTGGAAATGGCCAACATTGATTATCACTCAAAAGGTTTTCTCTCCCTCCACCCCACTCTCCTGCTGGTAATAGCTCATCTTAAGTGATCATTCTCCTTACAATGTGTATGATAAACACCCATTTTTGTATATAAATCTCCTCACTGTATTTTCCACTTTATGCATCCGATGAAGTGAGCTGTAGCTCACGAAAGCTTATGCTCAAATAAATTAGTTAGTCTCTAAGGTGCCACAAGTCCTCCTTTTCTTTTTGCGAATACAGACTAACACGGCTGCTACTCTGAAATCTGTCCATAATATAGCTCTGGCTTGGTTAACAGGATTTTCCCCTCACAGCCCACCGTCACCTCCTTGAACTTGTAGGTCACCTTGAACATCTCAACTCCTTGAGAAAAACCTTTAATTAAAAGTAAACTTAAATGCTTAAAAACAAAATCCCTGTATTAAAACACTGATTACAATCCCAAATCGTTACCAAAATCTTACTTATTCAGCAACCTCCTAGGGATGTTGTGAGGATTAATTAGCTAGTGTTTGTAAAACACTTTGAAGATGAAAAGTGCTATATAGGTGCCAAATATTAGTCTATTCATGTACACCTAAAATGTTCAAGTTGACACATTTTAAAAATTTGAAAACTACTCCCTCTTCCTCTTACCTGCCAACATTGGTGTTCAAAGGCCATCATTTCCCCAGCTGCAGCTGATACAATGCATAGGTGATGGTGATGTTAAGGAATATAGGTCTTGCACTGGCTTAGGGCCTGTGACATAATATTTTTCCCTTTGTGTATTTAGTACCTTTCAAACAAAGATCATTAGCACTTTACAAAGGAAGGCAGGTATAATCTCCATTTTACAGATGTGGGAAATGAGTCAGTTTCAAGGATTTACCCAAGCTCTCAGCAATAGTGACACATCTGGGAATAGAACATAGGAATCTTGCTACTTGTTCGCCAGCTGTAATCACACCATGCATTTACAGCCTTCCAAGTTATCCACCTTTCCAGGAGAATCACAGAGTCCTGAAGTCAGGTCTTGGTAAGTGAAGCTTTAGGGCATTTTGACAGCAGACATTTGGGTGTAGGGAATAAATTGGGGGATCATTTTCATATATAGGGCACCATTTTCATCTACATTTAATCTTTTATGTGACCTTTTATCCTTGACTTGGTCTGCTCCTTTCCTTGATTTGATAAACATTTCCCTTTTACTTGACTTTAGAAGGACATTCACTTGATAAGTAATATCCAATTTTGGACACCGAGGGCCAGCATGGCGCTTTAGGAACACTGTAATGCACTGAAACACAGGGGTGCATATTTGGTGCCTGGCTCCCTGGATCAACAAGGACTGGGACTGCTGTAGATAGCTCATGCAGAAGATGGAGCAGGTGAGGGGAAATCAAGACAGCACACTCTCCAGTGACCCCTCTTCTGGCTGTTATTTAAATAGGCACTGAAAGAGATCCCCTCTGCCAAGAGTTTCCACCTGACTTAAAGCCAGATTCTGTGATGTGCCAGCCAGGCACAGTTGGGAGGAGCACAAGTGGCTTTACCTGACTTTTGCAGCTGTGGGATTTTGGATGGTTTGGGGGCTGCTGGGGCCCCAGCATTAGTCAGAGCAGCTCCAAGGCTGCTGTAATTTATATTGCCTGCAGTGACTCCCTATGAATTGTCAGGGAGGCTAGGATAATCGGTGCCCAGAGTACTCCAACTCTAATCCTTCCTACTCCCTTAGGCTGGGAGCTGCATGGAGAATGGAGATAACAGGGCATTGTTATCCCACGTGGGAAACCGCCCTCCCTAGAGACCCGATACAGCTTTGCTAGAAAGGGTCTGCGCATTGGAGCCCAGAATCTGGGCCTCCAAATTTTGGGTGGGAGGATTGGGGAATGGAAGTATCACAGAGGATCTCCCTCCCTCCCATCAATTCTGGAAACTCATATATAAGAAACATAAGTAAGGCAGTGATACTGTCACGGAGGTCGCAGATTCCATTACTTTCTGGGACCTCCGGGACTTCTTCTGGGGCAGGGCTGGAGCAGCTGTCAGTCTCGGGGCTGCTCAAATCACAGTTGCCAGAACCTCTGACCAGTGGCTAACCCCTGGGCCACCAAAACAGCTGACCGGCAGCCAGCCAGAGTTGGGTCAGTCCCCCGGGGGCAGTGGCGGAGCTGGAGCAGCTGCAAGTCCCAACAGCATTGTGCGTTGTGGCCTTCTGTGACTTTTACTAAAAAATACCCATGACAAAATCTTAGCCTTAAACATCAGATATTACTAAAACAAATTAAGAATGTGCAAGGTGCTCAGACGCAAGGGTGATGAGTGCAGGTTGGGTAGCCAGATTTAATAAACACAGCAGTTGCGTGAGCTCTCCTAGAACAAAGCCCAAGGGGAGCAGTTACATGCAGAGTTCTGGCAACTACCACAGAGCATCAAGAGAACATGGTTCATGGCACACTGATTAACCACTTTGCTCCCATAGAAACGTCCCTCAGCTCCTGCAGTGCTGATCTAAGATTTATTCTGCAGGGACCCAGCCTTAATCAGCACCCTGTGGTCAGTCTGTATTATTGGATTATCAGACCGTATAAATAATTTCTGGTTTTGCTCTAGATTAAGGCTTCAGACAGAAGCATCCCTACTCTGCATCCGCAAATTTGCAAAACAAAAGGTCTACCACCAAAAGGCACTGTTCCCACAAGCTGCAACGTAAAAGTACCTTTTTTCTCAGCATATGAGTATGTATTGGACTCTGTGAAGTAACCCTACTGAAGGCAATACAAATACTGGACCACAAAAATGTTCTTTTCAATACATTAGTGACCTAATTCTCATCTCACTTACACTAACTTTATATCAGCATGACTCCATTGACTTCAATGGACTGAATTATAATGGTTTGAAAACAGAAACAGGTCTTGGTCTTTGTAGTCAACCTTCTTGTAAGGAATCAATCTGCAATTCCTTACAGAAAAATGGGGAAAGGGACAACATTCTAAGTTTGTTTTGAGTAAATGCTGGTAACTCTGAACAGACACTTTGGGCCAGGCACTGAACTCAGTTGCAGTTATGAGTAAATGGATTTCAGGGGAATTACCCCAGATTAAGATCGGTGTGACTGAGATCAGAACTTGTCTCTCGATTATTAAATCCACAGAAAAAGTTTCTAATTACTTGACCTTCCCCTACCACAACTGGTGGCAGAGCCAGAATATTTCCTCTATAATATTTAAGAATTCACAATGCTGCACTTTCAGATTTTGGTTAGTTTTCAAGTTCCCCTAAATGAAGGACACCATAGTCTGATCTCACTTGCACTGGTGCAATTCAGGAGTAACTTCCGTGAAGACACTAGAGTAAACCCAAAGTAAGAAAGATCAGAATCAGGTCCAAATATGTTTGGCATTAAGGAAGAGATGGAGATGAGTTACTCTAGGCCTATCATTTTCCAGTGATCTATTTGCCGAGGGTGGAATTTTCAGAAGCATTTAGCATTGGGCCTAACTCTGCTTCCATTACTTCAAATGGAATGATACGTCAATGTCAAGTGATTTTGGAAGATCCCACCCTAAATGCCTAGTGGGGAAGCCATTCAAAGCTATCAAAGCTGCAGACTGAGGTAAATAAAATATCAAAATGGTCCAAATACATCCCTGGTGTAAGTCTACTCAAATCACTGATGAATTTGGCCCAATATGTTTAGCAAAGAATAATGCAAAGTCCAGAATACATAGAGGGAGAAGACTGGGTAGATAGGACTATATATTACTTGTGTAGGACATCACTGAACATTTTTAGAAAGAGGAGACAGATGGATTAAAGGGGCAGGGTGCAAAATTATTTGACTTCCCTCCTCCAGTTAAATCACTGCCCTTTTCATGCCCACTGGAATAGTTCAGCAGGCTAGACTCCGATGAACTGAAAGGAAATGTATGTACTTTTCACTGTGCAAACAAAAATCGAATGTAGCCCACTTGCAATCAGGGATTGGAATTAAGCAGTACCCCAGCCCTCAAAAATAAAATAAAATTGAAATAAACCCAATTCCAGAGACAGATACATGAATTTATCAAAAAACTAGCACTGATAAATAAATTTATATTTAAAAAAGGAAAAGGAGATATATGTTTGGGGTAGAGTAAGAGTCGCCTCCTGAGCCCACGTGCGCTCACTTTATTTACATATCCACAAACACCATGAAACACCAGCCCAGCCCCCCCACTAGCAGCATGGTCACGTGAATTCCATAGATGAGCAGTTCATTCATGAGGCTGAAGTCCACCCGCCTTCGCCCCAACAAGAGGAGGATGATGGAGAGTTTGTACTGGAAACGCAGAAAGATCCGGATGCCCAGGTACTGAAGGCAAAACAAGATAGAGAGTGCCACCCAGAGGATGGAGGTAAACAGGCTGCAGCTGAAGTACAGCAGGAAGCGAATGAATCCGTACATCCATCGGGATTTCAGATAGATGTCGAAGTTGTTGTACTTGGTGCGCACCAAGTGAGTGGTCCTTACTGGGCCACAGGCTGAATGCAGACATGTTGTGTGGGGGCCGTGGAAAGAACGGACACGGCGGGGAATGGGGATTACAGGCATCAGGCACCCCACAGTTCACAGAGTCCCAGAGCAGGATTTGCAGTGCACATATCAAATGTCATCCATTAATATGGAAAAGATTCGGCAACCTATGAATGCAAACTTTCTGCTGAATTTCCAGGAAGGAACAGGCCTGCAGGAAGGAACAGAAGGAAAACATGTTTAAAAAACTCCAGAGGGAGATAGAGAGCGTCTGGTGGATCTATTCCAACCTGGCTGCTATTTACAGCCCCCTTGCAAAACTCTATTCACTCGCTTGCCTGGGGTAATGTATTTTTTTCATGGGAAAGTAAAATATAATTTTTTCCATTACTGCCTAACTAGATGATTACAAAACACCCAATCAGCATGCTATCTAGATTCTAATATTAGCCTACCATCAACCTCACTATGGCAATGGAGTGGAGGCAAGAGGATTGTGTCTCTGAACTGGTATATTTTCATGACAATTTTGCAAGGTTGATTAACATACAGCACATCCTCTTAATCAACGGGGCATGATACTGCAACATGACCAGTCCTTACCCATGTCACTAGTTCCACTAATGTATGGGTTTTCATTTGATCCTTATTCACTTATAAGTAAAAGTCTATTCGAGTGAGGATTTCTACGTACTGTGCAAATAAATACTGGGCACAGTAAAGACAATAGCAATTCTGGGCTCAATTTAAACCTTGCTAAGCATCACAGAATTGAAGGACTAGAAGAGACCTCTAGATATTTTCTAGTCCAGTCCCCTGCATTCAAGGCAGGACTAAATATTCTCTAGACCATCCCTGACAGGTGTTGTCTAACCTGCTCTTAAAAATCTCCAATGATGGAGATTCCACAACCTCCCTAGGCAATTTATTTCAGTGCTTAACCACCCTGACAGTTAGGATGTTTCTCCTAATGTCCAACTTAAACTGCTTAAACTTGCTGCAATTTAAGCCCACTGCTTCTTGACCTATCCTCAGAAATTAACGAGAACAGTTTTTCTCCCTACTCCTTATAATAATCTTTTATGTACTTGAAAACTGTTATCATGACCCCCTAGGTCTTCTCTTCTCCAAACTAAACAAACCCATCTTTTTTCCCCCTAATCTTCCCTCACAGGTCATGTTTACTAGACCTTTAATAATTTTTGTTGCTCTTCTCTGGACTCTCGCCAATTCGTTCATATCTTTCCCGAAACGTGGTGTCCAGAACCAGACACAATACTCCAGATGAGCCCTAATCAACGTGGAGTAAAGAGGAGGAATTACTTATTGTGTCTTGCTTACAACACTCCTGCTAATACATCCCAGAATGAGGTTTCCAACAAACAAAACGAAAACAGTGGAACATTTTGCAAGAAAAACAAAGCAATGTGTTTTTTTCACACTGTACAGGATGTACGTCCCTTTGCTTGGATAAGCCTTGAGGGCTCACTGTCATGGCAATTCCCTGTGCTCCATAGTTTTAAAAGATATTTACCTACCTTATTTCTCCCTTCATATTCTACAAAGATAAATGAAATATCCTTAGTCTTACGCAGTTTTTATGATTTAAAATCATAACATGTTTCCATGTAACCTTTGTTATTATTTGACAGTGATGAGCATTAGTCTGTTAGCTGCTCTCCGTTTCACCTCATGCTTCTAATGTGCCAATTTCCAGGAATTATCAGATGACAAAACACTAATCAGACAATGCCATTAAATAATGGGGAACTTCCCTAGCCTTCTTTCACACCCCGTAACATTGCTTCTTGTTATTACTTCGCATCTCACAGCTGGAGAAAGTTCAGACACACAGGCCTGGAAAGTTCTCTCTTTTGCTGAAGAAGAAATACTATCATTGCTAGGACTAACAAGAAATTTCATTTTATTATTAGAGCATCCTTTGAAATTAATTTCTATTATTACCAAGGCTACTATTAGTTATTATAAGGTTATAATACCTTATATGCCAGGATATTAAAGTACCCGTACTTTACAAACCTCAGAACAGCCTCATTAACTCAACGTGAGACTTTGGGCAAGTCATAACCACCCTCCGCCTCAGTTAACCCTGTAGAGATAATAATCCTGACCTATTTAATGGGGCCATGTATTGTTGCACTGTTTAAGGTGAAATCCCCAAGTAAATTCTGCCTAATAACCAATGAACAGTATGACCCAGGGGCTTAACAGAGAGGAAAATTATTGGTGTTGTGGTTAAGTTATTTGGGAGATCTGGGGGTCTGCTCCTGGGTCTATCGGGGCATCCTATATGACCCTGAACAAGTCGCCTCCCCAGTCTTTGCTACAGCTTCCCATCTGTAAAATGGGAATAATACTTCCCTACTTCACAAGAGTGTTATAGGAACAAATTTAGTAAAGTGCTCAGGTACTATCATGAGCACTACAGAAAAACACTACAGAAAAAGCCCATAACATACAATTAATTCAAGTTTCTAAAGTGGTTTGAGATCCTTGGGTGAAAGACAATACATAGATGTACAGCATTATTATTCTAACCATATTATGAATTATTCTTAATCTTGTGATTAAGAAAATGAAGTATCTTTCTAACAGATGATGTTCTAGATCACTAAAACTTACACATGATCGTATATGTAACAATGTGCTTCTACACACTATACTGCTTTTAAGTGATTTTTTTAAATAAAAATATTGTTAATGGACAAATTGCAAAACTTAGAACTTGATATATTCCTGTATTAGATATGACAGTATCAACAACATTCTATATATTATTTTTATTGTATTTTTAAAAATATAATCTCTTTTTGAATACCGTCAATTGGAACATTACTGAACATTCTAAAATCCTTCCCTAAGGCCCTGTTCCTGCAAACTCTTATGCACCTACTTAATTTTACTCAGCTGAGTAGCCCCACTGAAGTCAATTGAACTACTTACCTACTTAAGAGTAAGTACATTCATAAGTATAGAGGGTCAGAGCATTAAAAAACCTGATTTCTGTATCTGCTCTGCCCTGTCCATGAATACCCCCCTTTTTCATGGTATGATGCTGGGGTGTAGTTAAGATACTGGCTTTATGTCTGAGCCTTGTCATAGAGGAAGAGTTGTTATTCTCTACCGTGAAACAATCAGCAGGTTAATCTGAGATCTGCTCCAACAGCTGAGCTAACCGGGTCATTTAACAGCAACAGCTTGTTCTCATTTGCATGCTGCTGTGCCCATCATGTAAACATTTAATGGGTCTACGCTCTTAGATAAGATTAACACGACACTGGATCAGCTGTGGGAGGGGGTGTTGTAAGATGAAATGTAAACTTTTAAGAACAATACATTTTTAATGACATAACCATCCATTCGGCAAAAGGTCAATAATCCGTTGACTTTTCTGGATCTCATTTAACTCTTGCAATGAAATAATATTTGACATTTTCCAGTGCCACCTGACCAGCTAGGTACAGTGAAAAATATTGCTAGGGTGTTTCACAGCTCCACAACTTTCTAAGTTTGAGTTGATCTAAAAAATAAAAAAATAAGTTTCACCTTGCTGACTGGAAATATTCATAACTTCCAAACTACTGAAACAACTGTCTTGTTATTTATCTCACTGAGACTTTAAAAAAAAAATCAAGCCAAGTCTGAAGCAGATATATATTGTAGTTTATTGCATAGATGGCAGTCTTATGTTATACTGTACATGGTACCAATTTGACAAATAATTTATGTTATAAAGAGAAACTTCTATTAAGGTATAAGCTCAAGGAACGGAGTTAATGTCAAGCTTCCAGCTGTAGCTTCAAAGGAACCACTCACTTTTAAAGTTCAGCATGCACATAAGTGAGTTCATGACTAGGGCCTAACGCTGAAATTGTAGACCCTTAGGTGCTTGATCTTTCAGGGCAGGTCTACACTTAAAACACGGCAATGGTGCAGCCGTAGTGCTTCAGTGAAGACACTACTATGCCAATGGGAGAGCTTCTCCCATCGGCATAGTCTATCCACCTCTGCAACAGGCAGTAGGTATGTCAACAGGAGAAGCTCTCCTGTCAACATAGTACTGTCTACACCATGGTTTAGGTCGGTATAACTGTGTCGCTCAGGGGTGCGGATTTTTCACATCCCTGAATGACACAGTTATAGCGAGGCAAGTTTATAGTGGAGACCTGGCCTCAGCCGTAACACTGAATTAACACTAGTTTTCTGCACGGATATAACAAATTATGTTTCACATATCTACAGCACCTTTCTTCCCAAAAGCTACTGGATCTGTGTGGAGGAAGGTCCACTGAAATCATTAAAGTTCAGAACAGGTGCAAGGTTCTATTCACATGGATCTAACTAATATGGGCCTAAATTCATCCACCTCCACAAATTACAATTGCCATAGGGATAGAAAAGATCAACTAGCTAGTGCACAGTACCTTGCACAAAAGAGGGAGAATGGAAATTTTTCCCAGGAACTATTAGGCAACCTCCCCCTCTTACTATAGTATGTTTAATGCCCATTACAGACCATACAGGACAGAGTCAAAATTGTTAATCTTAGTCTTTAATGCTAGACACCAAAATTTGTATTTAGGCACATACACATGAAAGTTTAAGTTCCTAACTATGCATTTGGATACCTAACTTTATACACCCTATTTTGAAGATTTTGCCTTTTTTTTTTTTTTTAAAGATCTGTTGTTGCAAGGGAGTATCTACCTCAGAAGGATGAAAAACTGAGTCAACCCTTTCTGGATTTGATACTGTGGTTCTGGGAATTTCAACTCAGAGGCTTAGACCATCCCCTCCGGCTGGCTCAGTGCCAGTCTGGATCCAAGCACTCATAACACAAAAACCCCTCACCGTCATTGGCACCCTTTGCCATGGTGTCAAGCTAAAGATCTGAAAGTCACTGAAAACTGACCCCCCTTCTGCCCTTTCAGACATTTCCCTGCTAGCTAAGGTAGATGGGGGAATGCGTGTGCACACATGTAAAGTGCTGCTGCCCATGATGATCCCATTCTGTGGGTAAATGGAGGCATCAGTCTCCAAGGCAATCAAGCTGGCACATTTTATTCTCTCTTGCTATAAAGGGTGCTCATGATGAAAATGCTATAATTACCTCCTATAACACCAACTCTACTAGAATCACACTAGATTAGGTCCAGTGTTGTTTAATATATTTATTTGTGATCTGGAAAGGGGGGTAAACAGTGAGGTAGCAAAATTTGCAGATGACACAAAATTCTTTAAGTTAGTCAGGCCCACAGAGGCTTGCGAGGGACTTCAGAGGGACCTAAACAAGCTTGGTGAATGGGCAACACAACAGCAAATGAAGTTCAATGTAGATAAATGAAAAGTAATGCACACTGGAGGGGAAAATTATACTCCTCATACACCTTCTAAGATTCTAAGTTAAAACTATCAATTCAGGAAAGGGAGCTGGGTGACACCGTGGCCAATGAAGACCTTCGCTTGGTGTGCGGCTGTGGCCAAAAAATCAAACACGATGTTAGGATGCATAAGGATTGAGAAAGAGAATACAGAGAGTATTACAATGTCATTCTGTAAATCAATGATGTGGTCTCATCTACAATATCATGCGCAGTATTGGTCACGCCCGCCCCCCCAAAAGGATAATCCAGAATTAGGAGTTCAGAAAAGAGTGACGAGAATGATCAATGGCCTGGAAAAACGCTCAGCTGAAAAGAGATTTACAAAACTTGGATTATTTACCTTACAAATAAAGAGGGAACATGAAAAAAAACTGTATAAAATAATGATAGCAGATCAGGAGTTAACAAAATTTTGGAGAGATAGTAAACCTCATGCTTTTTCTAATTTGAGAGATTAGGAGACGGGCAGATATTCCCACATGTACCTAATACGAGGTTTCTTACACCTTCCTCTAAAGCAACTGCTGCTGGCCACTATCAGATAGGAGACTAGACTAGATGGGCTGTGGGTGATCCAGTCTGGCAATGCATATATTCCTATAAGTATATACATATATAGACATACACCATTATATGTACACACGGACACCAAACAACACACTATACGCACACACATATTTGGCAGAGCACACTCACACCATCAAAGAAGCTTCTGCGAGATGAGGAACCAGTTTGGTGCAGCCACAAATCACAACATAGCACTGGACAGAATGACATTTCCTAGGAATAACCTGATATCAGAGCAACACGGGCTACTGCAATACCCATCCAGAGAACAAGCAGATGTGGGCAGGGCCACCTCCCTTAGAGAAGGATTAACACACAGTACACACACATACATACACACACCTTACCCAATCTACTATCCCAAGGCCCTACCGATTACCTTCCTCCACATCCCTTTGCTCCCATCTCTTTCTCCCCTCCCTTTTGCATTCTCTCTGTGGCCCATGCCCTCCTCCCAACTATGGGGAGATAGGATAGAGGTCTATAAAACCATGAGTGGGGTGGAGAAAGCAAATAGGGAAGTGTTATTTACCCCTTCAAATAACATAAGAACCAGGGGTCACCACATGAAATTAAGAGGCAGCAGGTTTAAAACAAACACAAGGAAGTACTTCTTTACACAAGGCACAGTCAACCTGTGGAACTCCCTGCCGGGGGACGTTGTGAAGGCCAAAAGCATAACTGGGTTCAAAAAGAGAATTTGATAAATTCATGAAGGGGAGTCGTGTGTAGCTTGAGAGCCTACCTCTCTCACCAAGAGAAGGTGGGCCTGTAAGAGATATTACCACCCCCACCGTGTCTCGCTGATATCCTGCGCGGGACACAGCGACACCAGCACTGCGTACGCAGAGGAGCGGTCCACAAATGAGACGCAAGGCGGGTGAGGTAATATCGTGTATCGGCCCGACTTCTCTCGGTGAGCGAGACAGGCGGAGCTCTTCCGCCGGTCGGGGGAAGGCACTGGGCGTGTCCCAGCCGAACCCCAGGGGGAAGAGGTGGTTTCGCAGGAGGGGTAACCCGCACTCTGAGGGGCCGCTCAAGGCGGCGTGGTCAGTTAACAACACTGCAAAGGCCCACGGGGGCAGGGACGCAGCCCCGTGCTCCCGGTGTCCCTCGCCTCTCACTGGCAGAGGCCGACAGGCGGCGGGTCACTGGGCCATCGCCCTATTCTCTCCCTCGGGGGCACCGGCCTCCCCCCGCCCGCCCCAGCCGCCGCACCCTGGCGCTGACACTCACCGCGCTGCCCATGGTCCCGGGCCGAGTGGCCGCCGCTACTGGGGACAGGTGTCCCGGGCCCGGGGGGGGCCCGGGCCTGAGGTCAAGCGCTGCTATGCGCATGTGCGGGCCAGCGGCGCTCGGGGCTCCAACCGGTACCGGCCGAGGCGACTGAGGAGGGTGGGGGGAGGTTGCTGGCGCGAAATGATGATGTCATCATCGAGCGCCTCGCCTCCCTGAGGACAGCCTCAGAGGAGCCGCGAGGGTGGGGGGAGCCTGTCGCCCGGGCAACGGGGGAGGGACAAGAACAGGCGGGGCGGGGCAAGGGGGTTTCACCCAGGGGAGTGGGGGGAATAGTGGGGGAAGGGAGGATTGCGGTAACGGGATGGGGAGTGGGGCAATAACGGGCGGGAGGGGATAAGAGCTTGGGGGCAATAACGAGGGGAGGGTAATAATGGGGGGGATAGAGGGGGCAGCGCTGGCGCGAGCTGTTGCCCCCCGTTTCTCGCTATCCCATTCCGGGGCTGCCCCCCAGTTTCCGCTCGGCAGAGGACAGCTGGTCCCCGCCCGCAGGGGAGCGGCGGCGGGTGATTAACGGCCGCCCAGAGCCGCAGCGTTTCGCCCGGGGGGGCGCCGCCGCCGCCGCCGCCGCTGGCTGATGCGCGAGCTCGGGGGCCGGCGGGCGGGAGCGAGCGAGCGAAGCGCCGAGCTGGCGGGCTCGCCGCCCCTCCCCTCTCCCGGGCTCTCTTCCCGGTAGGGGACAGCGCCGGGGAAGCCCGTCGGCACCAGCTGCTGGGCCCCCCCGCCCCGCAGCCGCCTGGAGCGCTCCGCGGGGCTGGCGCGGTTGTTGCAGGAACGGAACCGTTTGACTCTCGGGCGCGGTTCGTGTTGTGTACTTTCCCATGGGCGAGGGCTCGAAGGGCGCCGCGGACAAGGCAAGAGGCTGGAGGCGAAGCCACTGGCTCAGTGGACTCTAGAAACCCGCGGAGAAGGTGGACCTTTCCCAGCCTTTGGAAGGGTTGGTTAGTTACGCCTCGGGATCGTTGTATTTTCATAAATCTCGAGCTCTGTTGACAGATACATGGATACAAATAACCCTGAGCCGCGTCTTCCCCACTTCAGTCAGTGAAGTCGCACCAGGGTGCATTTAGCCCCGTCTCTTTTTTCAGTTGCACCCAGCCCAGCCTTTCCACCTCCTTCAGTGAACAATTTGAAACGAGCTTTCGGTTTTCTCTATACATTCGCCTCTGAAACGTTTCATTACTAAATTTTTATTTAGCCAAAACCGTACTGTGGAGAATTGTCAAACGAAATTTCAACAGCAATAATATTATGTTTCCTCCTGTGGATTTGTGTGCAGTGTTATTTCGGAAGTTCTTTTAAATAAAAATACTCCAGGCTCCTGATCAAAACAAGATGCATGCAATGCTCTTTCAGACCCCACTCTGGCATAGATAAAAAAGTATGTACCTCATCAGTGACTACTAGAATAAAATGTATTTTGACTTCCCAAGATCTTTCCTTATGCTTGTAGTTCTCATGTGTTTGTGTAGGCATTTGGTGGAGCAGGGCCAAGAAAAACAGAATTTGTCAAACAGCAGCAAAACATTTTTTTTCTAGAGTGATCCCACTGGACAACATATTTGGCTAAATTTAGATTAAATAAAATGTAATTTCTTAAAACATACAATACCACAGCGTGATAGGAGAAATATATCAGCCAAAACAGGTAGATTTGATTTTTTCAAAGACGGGTGGAACTCTGTCCTATGGGCTCTATTCTGACCTTTCATATTCTCACAAATAGGTCTTTGTATTCACAATACAACTTGTAGAGGGCCAAAGGGTGCCTGCTATAAGTCTTCCCCCCTCCCCTCTCCCACTGTATAACACTTCTTACAATTAGGAGTTTTAAAATTCATGTATGGATATGGGGAAAAAACATTCCTCCTCTTAGTATGAAAGAGCCAGATCATGCTTTTCAGCTGTCTATGTCACGATATTTTTTAAATGAAAGTTTCACAATGTTGCTTCAGTTACTGTTGCTGCCATAACAGTGGTGGGAGTGCTAGTGTAGGCAATGATCCGAAGACTGCTGCCATTTTAAGTAGTGTGTTGTGTTCAAGCTGCTCAATGTATGTCTGCACAACATGGTGCTTAAGATAGTGGATGCCAGTGCTTTGGGGGCAGGGATCATCTTATTGTCTGTGTTTGTACAGCGCCCAGCACAGTGGGGCCTTGGTTTATGACTGGGGCTACTAGGTGTTACTGCAATACAAATAAATAGTAGTAATAATAATACATTAGCACTCCCACTCTTGCTGTCTTTGATGATTTTGTAACAGTGGTAGCAACCCCATGACATTGTTAGGGGGAAAAAATGTAGACATGATGTTCCCTGTGATAACCCTTAAGAGGCAACAGATAACTCAAATTTAAATTAATGGAGTTTCTAACATGTAGTGCTGTTAGGGGGAGAAGGGGCAGAGAGGGAATTGCCCACATCCAAAGAGAGCAATAGGTGTACCCTTTCCAGTGAATTGATATCCACCTGGCCCCATAGAATCATAGGACTGGAAGGGACTTTGAGAGGTCATCTAGTCAAGTCCCCTGCACTCATAGCAGGACTAAGTATTAAGGGGATCTCAAACTCAAATCACTACGAGGGCCACATGAGGACTAATACATTGGCCCGAGAGCCGCATCACTGACACCTTTTCATATAAAGATACAAAAGCCTGCCCCTGGCCCCGCCCCACTCTGCCTCTTCCCACCCCTTCCCTGCCCCTATTCCAACCCCTTCCTCAAATCCCCGCCCCTGCCCCACCTCTTTTCCGCCTCCTCCCCACTCCCTCCTGGAAAGTGCTAAGCGCTGCCAAACAGCTGTTTGGCGGCAGGAAGCACCTGGAGGTAGGCAGAGGAGCGGGGATGTGGCACACTGGGGGAAGGGGGTGGCGGGGGAGGGGGAGCTTGGCAGCCGCAGGAAATAACTCGGGGGTGGGGGGGTGGGAGCTTGGTGGGCCACAGCAAATAACTCTGCGGGTTTCAAACTCTGTGTTTGAAACCCCTGATCTAGACCATCCCTGACAGGTGTTTGTCTAACCTGCTCTTAAAAATCTCCACAACTTCACGAGGCAATTTATTCCAGTGCTTAACCACCCTGACAGTTAGGAGGTTTTTCCTAATGTCCAACCTAAACTGCCTTTGCTGCAATTTAAGCCCATTGCTTCTTGTACTGTCCTCAGAAGTTAAGGAGAACAATTTTTCTCCCTCCTCCTTGTAACAACCTTTTATGTACCAAGCACGGCTCCATCAGGAGCAAACTAGATAGAATATTAAGTAGGATGCTACTGCTTAACTTGTCCTAGCATATAGAGCCACTCAGAAATGTCAAGCATTACAAAGATCATGACTGAAAAGCCATTTTCTAGTAGATTAGGCCCAAGATTTGATCTACGTTAAACCACAATACATTTAAGCACAGATTCAGTCCAGTTCATCCTGTGATTTCAAGAACTGACCAACGTGCTGTGGCCTGGAAGAAGGCCTTCAGAAGTAGGGCAGTGTCTTGGCCTGGTTCCAGATGGTGTCTATGTGCAACTGGAATGGTCAGAAGAAGTTTCTATATTAAAAACAGTAGGAAAAGAAAATGTCTTCCCTACTATTTTCTCTAGTCTTAACAAAGGAACTACTTTCCAGTATGGAAGGATACAAAACTCACATCAGTCCCCTGTAAACATTAAATAATAATAATTTGAGCCATGTGCAAGCCATGATCCCAGAAAAGCTGAGAGAGTATCGACTAAGATGGCTGCGTCATATGAGACAACGAGATACAGTTATGTTGGCCAAAGAGTACAAGATCTAGTAGTCATGGGAAGACCAAGAAAAAGGTGGTTTGAGATGGTGAAGGAGTACATGAAGAAAGTTGGTGTCAGCTTGGAAGCCACACTCGACAAGAACACTTGGAGACAAAAAACAACATCCACAGACCCCAATTAATGGAACAAGGCAAAGAACAAGAAAAGTTTGAGCCACCTGCTAATACCAATAAGCCATGCCAGTCATTAGAGGTTACAGCCACACTGCATAGGCTGTTGAAAGCACAGGACCAATATCAGTGTACAATAACTTACAAATGCATATACTGTCTTGTGGGTTATTGCAATATTCTCTCTATTTTATGTCTATACTGGAGACTATTTTTAGCCTGCATATAGGAAGAGAGACAAGGGTTCCTGATGTATGCTGTGGGAAAAAGTATACCAAGGGTAATAGGGCAGCCTTATATTCCTAGAAAATTGCCCTTTCTATTTCTCCCACATACCTTCTGGTGGGACGGAGAAGAGGAGATGCAAAGTTCACAGATTTTTCCAATAGCACAAAACTGGAAACATCTGTTCAATGACTAATATTAGCAAGACAGCAGCCTTCCATTTACCTCCCTCGGTCATTCCCTGGAATTAACTCTCAGGAACTGGAGCCCACAGTGAGGGAACGAGAGAAGTAAAATTCAGCCAAGCTAGTGCATAACAACAAAATTATGAAAATAGATTTGTCCCATCTGAGTCTTGGTTTCCCATCTTCTGATCTGGAAAATGCTGGGGCTGCTGCTGAATCCAAGTGCTGTAGGTGGGGTGGGAAATGGCAGTCCTCCTGATGTCCAATAGCAGCCCCTCTGTCTGATTAAGAAATGCCTTTGATAAATTCTAGAAATGTCCAGTCCTCAGACAATTCTACTGAGCAACTATAGGAATCAAAATGGAATGAAAGCAGAAGGGGTAACCCCTGGCAGCAGCCACATCAGTGATGTATTTAAAATGCAACTTTTTGTTTTTCAGGTCTCAGTTACAAAAAGCAGACAGTAGGATCCACTTTTCTGCTTGTGGTATTTTGGCCACTTTGCTGTTTAAATGAATGAGTGTCCTCATAAATATAATGTCCTAGGGCCAAGTGGGAATTGAAGCTTTGATATTCAAAGAGATAAGAGATCAGATCTTAAACAAACACTCCTGAGTTCAGTCCAAAGAGAATCCATCCACACGCACTTTGGTGAGGCTATTGGTTGTATTTCTTTCCTGTGCTAATTTTACTAAAGACAGAACTCATATTCCTGATGATTGAACAGTTTTGTGTTGACAGGATTGAAGATTTGTGATGAAACTTATCATCGGCCCCGAGAGCAGGCCATTAGTACTAGTCAAAGTGGCCGGCTAGCAC